GAACCGCTACCATCTCTTGCCACTGACAGTTCATTCAGCAATGTTATCCCTTCAATATCTTCATTTTCATCCTTGCAACGCTTTCGTTTTGCGTTATTATCTATGTTATTTTCAGGCTCTAACAATTCATCGTCTATCTTTTCTTTCTTAACGCTCACGTCATTTTTGCTTGGTCTCACCATCTAAAAAATAGTATAATTGTAAACACATGTGTTTATGCTTAAAATTAACCTCTAAGAGAGAGAATCTAGATGTAAATGTGCTCACAGAGTTGAAAGTACTCTCAACAAAAAAAATAATAAATAATCAATTACCTGAAATTTTTCTGCATCATGTCGAAAGCGTTTTAAATCGAATTTTGCGCCGGCTGAGAGTTTTTTAAAAAGATCGTGAGCATCCATGATGTATGATGTATTCAGGAATAATTTTTATCATCACAATCACATGTGTGAAAAGCAAGAGGGCAAGAGACTTCAGTGGATTCAGATTAGGTTAGATTATGTTTAAATTGACCAATCAAAGCAAAGAAGTCTTTTCGTCCTCATTGGTCAATAAAATAATTTAAAACTTTTGTAGCGTCGAACGGAGATCGATAAAGCAAAAAAGTAAAAGAGAATTAATAAAAAAAAGAGTTTGGAATTTTAAGTAAAGAAGAGAAGGAAGGAAGAAAAAGTAAAAAGGTAGCAGAAAGAGTGAAATGGAATATAGTGGAATGAAAATTAGTGAAAATCCTAAAATAGACAATATAGAGAACAGTTTCCAAGCAAGGTCCCATGGTGTAATGGTTAGCACTCTGGACTTTGAATCCAGCGATCCGAGTTCAAATCTCGGTGGGACCTAGATGAGTCTTTTTTTTGTAAATTTTCAATAATTTACGTTTTATACAAGTGTCGATTTAATATAATTACAAATATATTTGTGTTGAAATTTACAGTTCATACATATGTAGTAAACTCTGCTAAAATATCAAGGTGTTTTGTTCATCATATGATTCATAACCTAACATTGATGGTATTGTCGAACCTGCATTTAAAAAAATACTCATAATTACTTATAACTTTATCGAAAATAATATAAATAAATGTTAAAAATTTAAAGTCTGTGTGTGTGTTGAATAACTTTCTCGAGTTAAAAGCATTAAAAAAAACATATATTATAAGGTTTTTTTTAACTTAAACGTGATGTGACATATAAGCCATGTGTTAGTGTTAGAACATTTTCGAGAATTAAATTGACTATAAGATTGAAAAGAGATGGCCGAGCAATGCGACTCTGTGGTGGTTATCAAGGCAAAACCCGTTCGTAAGGTTTTCAAGGCTCCTATGAGAGCCAATAAAATTCCTGAGCAACTCTTGAACGATCCTTTACTGAATTCTGCCATAGCAGCCTTACCGTCGAATTATAATTTTGAAATACACAAAACGATATGGAGGATCAGGGAGGCCAAGGCGAAGCGAGTAGTTCTCCAAATGCCAGAAGGTCTTCTAATGTATGCCACAACTATAGCTGACATCATCGAAGACTTTACTGAAGCAGAGACTGTTATTATGGCCGATGTCACCTATGGTAAAAATAGACAAGTATTTTAATTCCATCTCTTATATATACAATATTTTACAATATCACATTGCAGGAGCCTGCTGTGTGGACGATTACACTACACGAGCATTGGACGCAGACTTTCTGATTCATTATGGACACTCGTGCCTTATACCTGTAGATCAGACTGCTGATATCAAAGTGCTCTATGTGTTCGTCAACATAAAAATCGATATTGCACATTGTGTGGATTGTTTGCAAGCTACTCTGCCAGTCACCACAAAGTTAGCACTAGTCAGTACAATACAATTTGCTACAACGGTACAAGCAGTAGCGTTAGAACTGAGGAGAAAAGGTTACGAAGTTTCAGTGCCACAGAGCAAGCCACTTAGTCCTGGAGAAGTACATACAATACCTTTTTTGCTGTGCATATGTTTAGCGATTAAGATAATACTGATGAGTAATTCTTCTTAAAGATTTTAGGATGCACAGCTCCACAAGTTCGCTGCGCTGATGCAATAATCTACATAGGAGACGGCCGTTTTCATTTGGAAGCTGCAATGATTGCCAATCCTAAGCTAAGGGCTTTTAAGTACGATCCATACGCGAAGAAATTGACCGAGGAGTTTTATGATCATGAGAGGATGCTAAAGACCAGATACGAGGCGATACAACGCGCCGCAAAGACTGACAAATACGCTTTAATACTCGGCACTTTGGGCAGACAGGGAAATCCTAATGTACTGAAAACTTTGCAGAATAGAATTAAGGCCTTGGGAAAGGAAAACGTCGTAATATTGCTCTCGGAAATATTTCCGGATAAGATCAAGCTGTTCAAAGGCATCGATGCTTTTATACAAGTAGGAATTTTTCTATAAGAGAAATATATCAGATTGATCAAAAAGTTTACTGGTTTTTTTTCCATTATTCTGTATTTACTTCAATAAAGATGACACAAATTTTAAAAAAATAAATAATGTATACACGTGTGTATAAAATTTTTAAATGAGCTATATATAGGGAAAAAAACGAACAAATTTTTTAATCGGTTTGATGTAATTAAATACATATCGCAACTCAAAAGATTCGTGTATTATGTTAAACTATATCAATATATTTTATTCAAGATTGCGTGTCCACGATTGAGCATCGACTGGGGCGTTGCATTCGAGAAACCATTTCTCACACCGTACGAAGGCGCTGTCGCCCTCAGGATGGCCAATTTTGACATGGAACAGCCATATCCCATGGATTTTTACGCTACCATTAGTCTCGGGCCGTGGACCGCTAATCATAAGGAATCTGAATTAGAGAAGACAGATGCTTGTTGTGGTAAATGTAAAATGGAAAAATAAAGCAAAAAAGCGAAGACTTTTAAATTCGCTGTCATAATTGTCAACCTATTGAATTAAATAAAAATTTTATCTTCCTCTTCCACTATTGCATTATTCGCGAAAAAAGCTTTTTAATAAATTTATCGACAAATGCGAATTATAAGTTCAAACAGGTGTGCATCCAAACGCTATCCATATTAAACCCCCGTCATCCCCAAGTTGTTGATAGCGGAGCGATAATGGGCAGATAGGAGGGTCCGCGTGGGCGAATTACGTCATACGCCCACCTGTAGCCCGCTCGCATATATAGATGCAACATTGTACATATAGGGTGTACGAGGCATAAAACACTCGTGGCTCGCTTTTTTTATCTACTTTTTATTATTAGAAAATAAAGTGATTAAAACAGTGCAAATTCTAAACACGTTTACTTGGAATAATATTTATTGTTAGAGAATATATATCGATAGTACGAAAAAAAGATTTTGTAAAAAAGATTAGAATGCGAATAGAGTGTAAAGTATTATAATTCATATATAGTGTTTTCTCAAAATATATATCGGAATATCGTTTTGCATATTAAAATCAAATAATTTCTTGTTATTTTACATTATTAAAAAATACATTGTACGAGTATCAAAATGTATATCGATAAAACAACCGATGTTATTGAAAGAAAAGAACACAGGGTACGTGATAAAATACCGAGGGTGGAAGGCGGCGCCGACCGCACCCCGACGTCGCGACGTCAGTCGTTGTTCCAGCGTGGCTCAACAAGTACACGCGGCATCGAGTTGCGACGGATTCAAATTTTGAAAAAATCCTGACGTGGCTTCGTCGTTTGACTATTTAAAATGTATTAAATCAGCGAGAACAGCATTAATCGCGAGAAGAATCACAGATCATCTTTTCCACAGCGATTAATCAACGATCTACTCTGCAAAACATTCGCAAAAAGTAAGTTACAAAAAATGTTAAGCATTAATCTTTAATCTCATTCAATCTCATTCTTCTTTCTCAATATCAAAGTTTGAAATAATATAAAAGTTAAAGAATATATATATATATATATATATATATACAGAGAAAATATATCTTTAAAAAGTCTTATTTTAAAATCATAATCACACATAGTGAAATTTTATTGTTGTTTCATCAGGAGAAAAGAATATACTATGCGATCTAAGGTGACAAATGAGAACACGTGGGAGACAAAGTGGGCCACGGAATCGTCGCAGAGCGGTAGAGGCGTGCGACGAACAACAAAAAGAACTGAATCGTCGGGGTTGAAATTGTCAAAACCATCCAGAGGGAACACGGCGCGGGAGAGAACTCTCAGGAGGCTGGAAAGCAATGAACGAGAACGCATGCGAATGCACAGCTTGAACGATGCGTTTCAAGTATGTGGATACAAAATAATACATTTTTTTATTATATATTAATAAAAAATAAAATTTATATAAAACGATAAAATAAGATTATTATAGAAAGCAGAGAAAACATCTTTTCATGCCTCTGATATTTCTTGGAGAACAAACTGGATATATAATAAATATTGTATTAATCTTATAAAATATATACCAATAATATTTTTTCTTCTTTCTAGTCTCTACGCGAAGTGATCCCGCACGTTACGAAAGAGAGGCGGCTCTCGAAGATCGAAACATTAACTCTGGCTAAGAATTATATAGTGGCCCTTACGGACGTAATATGCGCTATGAGAAGCGAGGAGGATCAGCAGACGAGCGGCTCCGAAACTCAAGATTCGTCGAACAGTGAACAACGATTAGAATCGACTGTCGTTCGCATGAATATTCCTATCGCCTCCAGATCTTGCGCTTCGGAAACTCAGAATTTTTATCAGAGTAAGCATTCCCGATGGGAGAACGATCAGGACAACATCACAGGTCTCTGAAAAGTTACAACGCTAAATGATGATCGAGATGAAGTACGAATTGAGAGCTTCGCGAACGGCATTTCGACTACTGGTCTTCCTTCCTTAATCCGTGCATGCGTTTGCGTTTAAAAAAAGAAAAAATATAACGCATCTGTGTAAATTTTAGCGAAAAACTAATGATATATTTTATGACTGATATAATAATTTAAGAAAATACTAAATGTGTGCCAAAGAAAGATATAATATTCATTATGCAGAAATGAGTAAAAGAAAATATTATATGAATAATAATATTTATTTTACTTCTCAGATATACGACATCTTGTATTATTTTTACAAAATGAGCTGCAAAGACAAAATCATTTAGAGAAACATTACGTATAAGTATAAATACTTACATATATATACATAT